TATATGAAAAATATATGGTTATTTATTATGTAATATATATTTATTATATAATAGTGTTGATAAACTATATATACATACAAATATATATGTATATATAACTATATATACACAAATTAATATATCAAATAATATATAATATATAATTATATATACATCTGTATGTATATATAATTTTTCTATACATATATGTAATTATCTACTGAAAATTTAAGAAAACAGGACAAAACATTTTTTTTTTTTGGAGAGATTTTCGCTATAGGGCTTGTGCGCTCGCCAGACAGACAGAGAGAGAAAGAGACAGAAAGCGAGAAATCACCCCCAGGGGGGATGGTAACACCGCAATCCCTTCTCCTCCATTCTCCTCTCAGGATCTTGGGCACGCACGCACATGTGCCTGGCGTGTTTTAAGCCACCGGGTCCGGGATGCGAACCATGGTCGACTACGTGGGAGTCCAACGACATAGCCATTACACTAACTGCTGGTTCCCAAAACAGGACAAAACTTTAACCTTAGTAAAATGAAGTGTACAATATGAATCACTAGAGATTCTTGGTGCTGTTATGATTTTAACCCTTGAACAGAATGATTTTAAATGATAGAATGACAAGTATAATAGAGAGTGCTTTTGAGGAAAGGATTCATTAGTATTTCAAAATAATTGGAGGGACCAGCAGGTGGTATGGTGGTTAAGGGTGCTGAACTCCCACATGGCTGATTGCAGTTTGAGTCCCAGACTTGGCAGCTTGCTTTCTCTCTCTCTCTCTCGCTCTCTCACTCTCTCTGTCCCTCTCTGGTCAAATTTAAATAAGTAAATATATAAATAGAGTTAAATAAAACAATTATTTACAAACAATATTTGGATATAAAAAGTTCGACTGGATTACAATTCCATTTGCATTATGAGTTAACAGCAGATTTGGCAATGAACCTAAAGGAAGAGTTGTTAGGCTTAGAAAAGAATGATTTATTGGAATGAATGATCTGAATTCCAGTTGAGGGCAGTAAAGCAGTTTTCTTTAATTGCAGAAAAAGAGTATTCTTTTGTGGACATGGTGTCAAAAACAACCTGAGCATCTACCATCAGGAGAGTGGGTAGATGAAATGTGTGCATGTACTCCGTGGGATAGTACACAGCCATGAGAAGCAGTGGATGCAAGTGCCTAGAACGATATGGATTGTGCTTGAAAAACAGGGCTTATTGAAAACAAGAAAAGGAATCTAATGAAGTACATAGCACAATGCTATTTACATAAATTAAAAGTCCATTACAAAGTAATAATACACATCTTGTGAAAGCATATACCAAAAAAAGTACACAGTAAACAGAATAGAGTGTCTGTCCCAGGGAGGGGAAGGGCGGAGTGCAATGAGAGTGGAATAAGAAAATGAAAACCTTTCAGGGGTCAATGATATAACAGAAGGGTATAAAAAATTAGTTTCAAGAGAAAAATAAATTATGCTCAAGAAAAGACATTCTATTTTCACATTAATATTTTGATCAAGTTTTATCTGTAATTGTATAAAATTTGATATTTCATATTTCCCCAGAATAATTAGAATTTTACTTTTCTTATAATCATGTAATACAAAGTAATTTTTTCCCCACTAAGTCCATCACAGATAGTCCATCCCTTTTAGTTTAATCACCATATGAAAAATACTAGTATATTTAATTACTGCCATGAAGTAAAAAAGGGTTTGGAGTCCTCACCAGAACTTTGGTTGTTAGATAGAAACTTGACTGCCAAAATCTGCTCCAACTCTTCCACAAGCCATGCCCAAACTCCAAGTTTGAAATACAACTATGTGATTGTTTCCAAATTATGCATTTTTTGAGAGGTTTTTGCTATAGGGCGCGTGCACTCGCCAGACAGACAGAGAGAGACAGAGAGACAGAAAGTGAGAAATCACCCCCCCCAGGGGGGATGGCCACGCCGCAATCCCTTCTCCATTCTCCTCTTGGGATCTTGGGCACGCACGCACGGCATGAGTTTAAGTCACCAGGTCCAGGCCTCAAACCGTGGTGTACTATGTGGGAGTCCAGCGACATAGCCATTACGCTAACTGCTGGTCCCCAAATTTTGCATTTTTTTTAAAGGTTTGAGGGTGTTTGGACTGAAAACTTCCTATTTTTTTCTCCTAGTCACTTCCATTTGATAAAACTGTGCAGCCTGATTTACTCTGCCTGGGACAGTCTAAAGCAATAAGATATGCATAAACCTTACTCCTACTGTTTTTCTGCCTGTCACCTGTTGAGCTATCCTTCCTCTAAGAATCAGGGCACAGTTTTATAGTCGCTATTGGAAAAACCCACCCCTCTTTTTCCTGGTGCACACATACTATACTCTGCCAAGAGTGGTTTAAAAAAAAACAAACAAACAGGGACCAGCAGTTAGAGTAATGGCTATGTCGCTGGACTCCCACGTAGTCGACCGCAGTTCATGTCCTGAACTCGGTGGCTTAAAACTCATGCCGGGCGTATGTGCGTGTGTGCCCAAGATCCCGAGGGGAGAATGGAGGAGAAGGGATTGCGGTGTGGCCATTCCCCCCCGCCCGGGGGGTGATTTCTTACTTTCTGTCTCTGTGTCTCTTTCTGTCCCTGGAGAGGGCACGTGCCCTATAGCAAAAACCTCTAAAAACAAACAAACAAACAAAACTAATTCTCTTCTTTGGCTAGGAATTTTCTGTTTCTTTTCTGATTGAGTCTATGGAGGAAGAGGAGGTAGCAATAAATTTGCTTGTTTATTTGTCAGAGACTGTGAGGCTGAATCTGTGTGAAGGACCATTCACCTAGCAGTGATGACTACACATTAGAACCACCTGGGGAGCTTTAACGACATGCCCACACCTACACTGAGCCCCAGATGAATAGAGTAAGAATCACTGGGGGTGGAGTCTGGGCACTAGTAGATTTTAAAAGCTCCCCAGATGCTTCTAATAATATGTAGCCAAGACTGGTCTCCACTGTTGTAAGCACTACATTTGAATATAGAAAACTAGTCTTTAGACAACACTAGAATTAACTTAGAAAAATCAAAATTTTAAGCTACTTGTCCATGGCCCAAGATTACGGTTTAGAATTTTAACAAACAAACTTTCAAAAGATTCCCCTTCTGATTAGATTTCTTTCAAAGTTCCTTGGGGGCAGAACAGCAGGTGGCATGGTAGTTAAGGTGTTGGATTCCTATATGGCTGACTGTGGTGGAGTCCCAGACTTGGTGGCTGGAAAATCACATTGCACGTGCATGTGTGTGGTGGTGGTGGTGGTGGTGGGTGTGTGTGTGTGTGTGTGTGCCCAAAGTCCCAAGAGAAGAATGATGAAGGAATTTCAGCAGGGCCATACTCTTGGAGGGGGGTGATTTCTCACTTTCCCTCTCTCCGGTGAGCACACAAACCCTATGGCAAAAACCTCAAAACGAAAGAAAACAAAAACCAAAGTTCCTTGGGACATCGTTGCACAGCTACCTCACCACATTCTTATGAGATAAACACATTACATGTAACTAATTCAAGTTCATACCAGGCCAGCGTCAGAGAGCTAAAAACTCATTCATTCTCTTTTAAAATATTTCATCAGTTTATTTCACAGATACCTATGCTTGCCAATTATAAGCAAGGGAATACGAGGGTATTAAAGTGAGTGGAAAAACGGAATTAAAGTACAAGTTTATTTTGGTGCAAAAAAATTTGAAATTCATGTGATGTCTTTACATGATATACACGTTCCATGAACTTTTCAAAGAATTTTCACATATTGTGGGGGATAAAAAGACACTTAGGACACTACTTTACTTTTTAAGTCCTTATAATTAGTTTTCCCCAACTAAGTAAACCCAAGGCTGAGTATAATACCTTGAAAAAAAGTTCAACATTTTATACTTAAGGGATGGTACAGAGAAGCTAAAAATAGGCTGGGGCAACATTGGGAAGGGTCTTACATACTTGCAACTGTTGAAATATTTACCATTTTCTGAAAGTGGATTTTTCCATTTACTTGCTTTTGTTTGTGTTGTTTTCCCTGTTAAGGACACTTCTCTCTTTTTTTCCACACCCCATCTCCCATCCCAGCCAACTTATCACTGAGTTTTGTGCCTCTTATAGACTGACATCTACTGTAAGATTACATGTCTAAATTATTTTTCTTTCTTTTTTTTTTTTGGAGAGATTTTTGCTATAGGGCGCATGCGTTTGCCAGAAAGACAGAGAAAGAGAGAAAGACAGAAAGCAAGAAATCACCCCCCAGGGGGGATGGCCACACCGCAATCCCTTCTCCTCCATTCTCCTCTCAGGATCTTGGGCATGCACGCACATGCGCCCAGCGTGAGTTTAAGCCACTGGGTCCGGGACTCGAACCGTACTCGACTACGAGGGAGTCCAGCGACATACCCATTTCGCTAACTGCTGGTCCCCATGTCTAAATTCTAATATCCTTTTACTTGCCAGTCCTCTACTTCTCTAAAGCTATACTTCTTAAAGACAGAAACTGTATTTCACACTCTGGATTTCTAAGTGCCTATTTCAAGACCTGGCATAAAGTAAATGTTAATTAAATTCTAAAGAAATAAATGAATTTCGTCGAATCACCTGAACATCAGCCACAACTTCAGGGCTAGTTGTGATGCCGGAATGCAGAGGTGTCCAGATTGGACAAGCAGAAATCAGGTCTGTGCCACTCATCTCTTGATAAAAGCCAATCTCAAAGGACTGGACTTCGTGAATAAGGAAAGGAATTTATTCAGTGAAGTCAATATAGGGAGAGGGCAGACTGGAGTCCATAGTTACTTCCATTGTACTGCGTGAGATACAGAACTTACATAGGGAAGGGGCCAGTGTGAGTGTACATCTATTTTAGGAGTAAATAGTAAGTTATTCATTATCTTGGGAGGAGTCTTGATCTTTGTTTCCAGGTGGAATCACAAGGAGACCTGACAGCATCAGGGAGGCAGTTACTGTCTGAGGGAGCAGTTTCCATTCTGGGCAAGCAAGACAGAATAACTGATTTCAGCTCTCTACAAGGGGCTTAAAGATAAGTAATGATTAGCAAGGCAGAAGAAGCAAAATGGAGTCAGTCAAGGCAACTCTTCAATCCTCTAAGTGTGGCTTTGCAATGCTTAAGCTGATAAAATCTTCTTAGCAGGTGGTTGGTGGCATCTTCTTCTTTCCTATCTTTATAGGCTGTATTTGCAAAGATTCAACAAGGTTATTGTTAACTTGAAATCTAGGTCCATTTGTAAGGGAGAAGTGAAAGACTGAGTTTTGCTTTCAAGGGTTGATCTATCAAGATGGACTTCAAGACTAAGTACAATAAAAAATCACTCTGGTTCTATGGTTCAGTTACAGTGGTGACGACTCTTGAGGGTTGAGCACAGGGGAAAATGCAAAATAGACTTTTCACATCAGGGTAAAGCTATCAACTATGTAACCAACTCTGTTTTAGCCTGAATGGACTCATTTTATACTTTCAAGTATATATATATAGTTGGATTTCCCTTCTCTCCTCAATTTATTTATTTCCATAAGCTGAGTAAACTTAGTACTTAGGTAGTTTTAGGAGGAAATCTTCTCTTCTACAGTCTTAGAGTCATCTGTTTGGGGGACTGCTCATTAACTCCCAATAGGCAAACAGAAGACAAGGGTAATTTACATACTCAATAATGAGTAACTGAATAAATAACCAGAGATAGACTCATATATTAACTTATTGGTGGTGAGGGAGTTGCTTATGGCTTAGGTCGGAAAGTATGGGAAATACTTCTGGACTGTTTAATGCTAATGGTGAACATGGAGGCTAAATTAGCAAAAATTTCCTTCAAAGGGAAGATCGATGATAGCTATATTTGGAGAAGGGTCTGGTCTAGTCAGATAAGGGAAAATTCAGATAAGATTTCTTTCTGCATCTTCTGTAGCTCAAATGTTTTCACTATAAAATAATCTTTAAACCTACTATGGGCATCTGAATGGATTCCCATTGCAGTCAGTATGGCCTACTTACATCCTAGAATCCACAAATTCAAGGGTTTATGGAAACAGAATAATTTTATTCATTGTCTCCCTAAAAAAAAAACAAGAATAGATTTGCCACAAGTAAGTATAGCACTCCAATTCTTATAAGCATACATTTTATGACCCTTCTGAAATTCACATAATAACTTCTAACAGCTGGATATCTCATCTTCGCGTGGAATAATG